AAAAAGTTTATGTATGTTTCCCTTATAAGTATTGTTAATTAACTAATATAAACTTTTTTTACTTTTGATACTGTTTAATGCAGCTCTCAGCACGCTAAATTTTATACTAATTTCGTCCATAAGTTTATCGTAAGTTTTAAAATATGAATCAAAAGGAGTGGAGTTAGATGGAATTTTAGCAGCCATTTTGCACCAATATTAACAAATTAGTTGTTTAGTTTTTCAGCAACAATAGATTTATCATATAGTAATTTTCCATTAATTAAAAGATTTTTTGGCAGAGTGTTTTTTTTATAAATATTTTGTCAAATTAAATCAGTTACATTCCATATTTTTTTAGTGTTTCCGTTGGTTTTTTTTAATAACTGAGCATAGTAAAGCTTTTTTGAGTATCTTTTTGTTTTTCCAATATATTTTTGTAATTTTTTAAAGTTATTTCATTTATATAAGATTTCTTTTAAAATACTTTGTAAATAATTTTTCTTTTTTAAAGATTTTAGTAAGCTTATCGACATCCAGGAACTATGAAATGATTTAGTATTTATGATTATTTCTTTTTCTGGAAACGCTATTTTTATCATATTGCTAGCAAAATTGACCAAGAAACAAGTTAGAAGCATTGTTACCATCACTTGATTGCAAATTAAATGCCAATCAAAATTATTTTTTAAACAGTTTTTAAAACGCTTTAAGGAGTTCTCATTGATCTGTTGCTAAAATATTGTGGATTTTGTGGCAATATTGTTTATTAATATGTTATTGGTAGCTAAGAATGTAGGAAAATTATCCGATAAATCAGTCTGAACTACACCTGTGTAAAGAGGGCTATTAAAAAAACTGTTAGATGTTATCAAGTTGGGTAGAAGACCTTTTTGTAACTTTTGTTGATTTGTTTATTGTTGAAATAAAGTTATTTTCTAAGAGTATTTATAAAATTGTTAGCATCATTATTAGAAGCATAGTTGATTAGGTTGATGTTAAAATCTCCTATCAAATAAATATGTTTTCTGGAATTTTTAATTTTGTTTAGATATGTTTTAAGATGAGTTTTAAACTTTTTTATATTAGCAGATGGTGGTCTACAAATAATATTTATAATTTTTTTTTTCAGAATAATTTACAATACATAACGGTTTACAATCTGTTTCATTAACACAGAGGTCATTATGTAAAATAAAATTAAAAGAATTGCGGATAAAAGTACTAACACCCCCACCTGGATTAAATTCACGTGGTTGGTGAACTGATGTGTAAATAACTAGTTTAAGTTCATAATTTGTTTCACCACTTTTTACACCAAGTTTCAGTGAGACAATTTTAAAATCGTGTTTTCGTGAGACAATTTTAAAATCGTGTTTTCGCGAGACAATTTTAAAATCGTGTTTTCGTGAGACAATTTTAAAATCGTGTTTAAGTTCATTTAATAATAATTTTAAATTTTTAAAGTTTCTATTTAAACTTCGAATATTGATATTCAAAATTGAAAAAGTGTTTTAATTTTGTCTAAGATGTTGCGAACATTCAGCAACTGAGTACAGTTATATTTACTTTCTAACATTTTGTGATTAAAATAATTTGAGTCGGTGTCATTTTCACCGAAGGTGAAAATGACACCGACTCAAATTATTTTAATCACACATGTCTTTTTCATCCGAAAATTTAATTATGAAATTTTCCTCCATTTTTAAAACAAGTTAATTTAAATAAGTAACAGTAAAAATAAGACTCCGTTAACTAATGACAAATATTATGAAGATGAATTTTTGCTTTTCTTTGAAACCCAATCGCGAAATATCAGTATATCAAAATATACAATATCGGACAAAACATGTGCAACCAAATAATGCTAATTTAGTTTCTTTATATAGAGACAATGTTCTTCAAGTTTTATTCATCACAAAGTTCATTATTTGTGCACGAAAATTAATAAATTAATTAAAAGTAATAACAAAAGTTGATTTCCTTCTGGAAAAAACAAGTGCAACTCCACAAAATATTGACCAAGCTGTATTTCGCTATCAAACATTCGTGACGAATCCTTTGTTGTCGATCACAGACTTGCATCTTCGAGGCATTGATTCGATCAGGTGATCAATGAAACTTTGTGAAATCGCTGCCCAGGCCTTTTGGATTTATTCAAACAGTTAATCCTTATTACGAACACCTTCACGATTAATTCTGCAGTTGACGATCTCCCACAGATTCTCGATAAAGCTGAGATCCGGAGATTGAGGCGGTCAATCCATCACCGATAGGTGGTTGTCTTGAAACCACTGCTTGATTACTTTTGAAGTATGTTTCGGATCGTTGTCTTGCTGAAAAACCCATTTTATTGGCATATTTTATTCAGCATGAGGTTACATAACATCTTTCAGGATATTTTTATACATGAAAGGGTGCATTATTCCATCGATTCGATGTATTGAACCTAGATCGTTAGCAGAAAAACACCCCCAGACCATTACATTGCCTCCACCATGCTTCACGGTCTTATGGCAGTAACGTAAATTGAGGCGTTTTCCGGCCAGTCGACGTACACGGCTCAATGCCACCGCTCCCAATGATGTTGAACTTCGATTCAACACTGAACAGAACAGTTCGCCATTTCTGCACATTCCAATCAATATGAGATGTAGCAAACAGGAGTCTTTTCTTCTGGCTCTTTATTGAAATCAGCAGTTTTTTTGCAGGGCGTCGAGAAAACAATCCGGTTTCAACAGCACGTCGTCTGATTGTTCGGTCCGATACAGCTCTAATTGCTTTTGTATCTCGACTAATGATATCCAGGGATCCTTCTTGACGGATCTGACGATCATAGAATTCTCTCTAGAAGTGGTGGAATGCGGCCTTCCACCTTTGTTATCTGCTGCCAACTTCCCCGTAGAACGATATTTGGAACATAGTCTTGATACAGTCCATTTTTTCACGCGATATTTATCACAAAAACTTTTTTGTGACATTTCACTTACATAATCGCTAATAATTTTCTTTCTTAGTTCCAATTCAATTCTGTCGGGAGCCATTTTTGCACTTGAAGTCTTAATAATAATAAAAATAAATAATCATGCTTCTCAAGGCTTACCGTGTTACATTTACCATTATGATACAATAATGCTCTGTAGAACACAACGTCTTGGTTGGATGTGGACTGTATTGATGTAATGAAACACTCGTTGTATTTCATTTCTTGCATTGATGTTCTTCGATAAAACACTTTGATAAAACTCACTTCGATAAACTGTCTTGATAATACTGACTGATTGACTTCCATATACTGACTGAGTTACATGTCGGTTTACATAGTAAAATGAACCTGTGTGAACCTGTTCTAGAAGATTCTAGATGCTTCTTTTCGATGCTTCTGGATGCTTCTGAATGTTTCTGGATACTTCTGGATGCTTCTTCTGGAAACTTCTGGAAGCTTCTGCATGCTTCTGGAAACTTCTGGATACTTGCTTTAATTATTAAAAAACTTACGTGACGTTGACACGGACCAGACTTTAGAAAATGAACCAAACCAAAAAAGTTGCACTTGTTTTGTCAACTGCAAAATGGCACTTGTCAACGAAATTCTGCCTGTGTGCTGTCACCTGTCAGCTGATTGCTCATGTCATGATTGCTATGACTCCAGACTCCTGAACTGTTTGCTGTGGTAGTAAAGTTCGTTTCGTTTTTAAGACATGTAAAATTAGGAACACTTTTTAGTATTGTTCGATGTTGGTTGCAAATGTTTTTTCCAATACTGTATGTATGCAAACTTACCAGCTGCTAGTTCAATTTTCGTTTTCTCCCTCATACCTTTCCTGATTTGCGTTGTTTTAGAACGAAATCCTCATTGATCTAAATGTTTTTCTCTTCCAGATTGCTTGAATTTCTTAAAATTGCGACTTCATCTTTAAAATCTAAAAGTTTTTAACTTTTTCATCGAATAAGTTCTTCATGAAAATTTAAGCTATGCTTCAATTCTTTTATGTCTTTTTCCAATTACCATTAAATATTTTTATGGCTTAGCAAAGTTACATCATCATTATATGCAATGATACCAGTATAGATGCTATTTGTTTTTTTATTTGTTATTAAGGTTCCCCAAGAAAATCCCAACGGTCTTGTCACAGAACACTGCTGAAGTGGCATTTAACCAGGAAGATCACGCCTCCTTTCTTACCTTACCGCGAAATATGTCCAAAGCTCGTTTCGAACCTGGATTTCCTGCTTATAAAGCAAGCGCTCTAACCATTGCGCCACGGCCACATATTGTTGATTCATATTGTTGATCCTACTTTGTAATCTGAGGCTATTCCATTTAAGATGCTTTCAGTATAAATGTTACCCTGATGAATCAATCGAAAAGAACCTTGTCACAATCCTTGTGAGAGACTAAATTGATTTGAAGTAAATCCTTGATATAATATGTTTATGAAATTGTGTGTACTAAAGAAAATGAAAGTTTTTTTGGAAATAGACCTTCTCAAATAGCAAATTCCAGTTACAAGTATCAATAGCTTTATTCTAAATTACATATATATTTGCAGGTGAGGCAAGTCATTTGTCCGCAAATTTCTTTTTATTTGTTATGTCATCATTTTAATCATTTTATTCATATTGTGTTGTGCATATATTGACGCTCTTCTTTGAGGCGCGCATGATAATGTTGGGTGTTCAAATTCTTCTCATAGAGATATTTTTTTGTAAATTTTAATGCTTTATTTTTAGGAGGTCTATTGTGAGAGGGGTGGGGGTGGTGAAATAGAGTTAAATTTTTTTATTTGTTTTAAAGTTACATTCGCCATGATTTTTTACGACCCTTGCTGTTTGAAACATTTTTGTTTCATAATAGTATGAACAAATCTTAGATTCATACATCTTCACACATAATGTTAACTTCTATAATCATATTAATATGTTTATTCCTATTATCATCTTATTAATATGTTAATTTCTGTATTAACTTAACCATCAGAAAATCTAAACCAACGATTGCCTCAGAAAAACGTATATCATAAAAACATATAAAAGTATTTCTTTAAAAAAAAAAATTAAACTCGATCACCGCTCTCTGAGCGCGCGGATTCAATTTCTAAGTCTAAGTTAACAAGATGTTTAGTTATTGTGTTACATTGTTCAATCGATTTACTTCTGTCACTTGATATGTTTAATACAGCTTCATGCGCCACTTCAACTCTTTTTCGTAAGAATGACAACTCAGACTCCTTAGCGTCTATTAGAATATTTGTATCTTTGATTTCATTTTCACGTGCACGAAGTTCGTTCGTTAAATCTATAATAATAATGATAATATATATATATATATATATATATATATATATATAAATATATATATTATATATACATATATATAATTATATATTATACACACACACACACACACACACATATATATATATATATATATATATATATATATATATATATATATATATATATATATATATATATATATATATATATATATATATATATATATATATATATATATATTATATCTATATAATGGTCTGTAAGTTTAGTCACCCCTTCAAGACTAGTCTTGATATTTTTTGTAAAACTCTTCGGAAACACTTGCTCTTCATAGTGTCTTTATAGACACACCTCTTGCTCTTCATAGTGTCACTACACACACCCTTCTTAAAATTGCTTCTGGTTAAAGGTAAATCACATTTTCACTTAAAAAAAACAGATTGCTGAATTAAGAAAATAAGGGAAATAGAAATCTGAAATAGCAACAGCAATTAATTGCTGGTTGCAGTGAGAAAAGTGTTCAGCGATACTGAAGAAAACCTGTTAATAGCGATTTTCATGAAAAAAAACTTTGTGGTCGTCCAACTGTATTGCCACCTGCATTAAAAAAGATAACCGCTGAAAAGACTGAAAAATTGAAAAAAAAAAAAAAAGTGGGATTCATCAGCAAGTTGTGCCAAATAGATAAACTTTTTTGACGGCTACAACACACGCAACTTTTTTGACGGCTACAACACACGCAACAAAACAGTTTCTCGTTCAATCCTGCTCAGTTATTTCCAAGCAGTTCGCTTCAAGTTTGGAATTAAAACTATGGTACGTGAAGGAATGTCAATGTACGGATTGACTGAATTGGTTTTTGTGCCAGAAAAGTAGATAGTTAACACAGATTATTATTTGAACCATAATTTACCCAAATATATTGAGGCTACTTCAAGAAACCATCAAGGTAAAGACGCTGATAAGAGAAACATTTTCAATTCCGATATTATCTTGTTTCAACGAGATGGCACACATAGCCAAAGTTGTTCAACAATTTTGTGCAAAAAGTATTCCAACGACGCGCAGTGGTGCAAATCCACAAAAAATTGGCCATTATTCAAAATTTTTCAAAACATTTTAAAATAATTTTTTATTTTTTTAAATTGAATTATACTACTTATATTATCTAAAAGTATATAGGTTTGTTATTTATATTTATTAACAGGACCGCTGCACGGATTTAAAAGAAGCCATTTTTATAATAAATTTTTATTAAAAAAGTACAGAAGTTATAATTTCAATTATTGTTTTTTTTAAATAATTCAAAAAAAATTAATTTATTTTTGTCAGTATGGTTAAGATATCTTAACTTCTGCTTTAAAAAGATTTTACTTAAAGTGTAAAAAAACTTTCAAGAACTGCTTTAAAAAAATGCAAAAAAATGAAGCCTTTTGTAATTTTGAATTCGCTTTTCATTTAAAAGACATTCTTTTCAAGCTAATTTAACTCAACTTTTATCAAGTTCTGGTTATGGTTAAACCTCATAAAAAAATTCAGCTGCATATATTCATGCATTATGATAAGTTTTTAGCTACAAACACGCAACCTTTATTTTTGCTCTAATATTCTCAATGTTTATATTTTGTGTAAAATATATATAAATGCGAAAAAGTTAAAATTTTTTATAAATACCAATAACTAAGTCATGTTGCTAGGTTAGAAAAATTTACTTTTTTGTTTTAAATGATTTCATACGTTCTTACTTTGATTGTAAATTTTTTGAAAAAATACATTTTTTTCATGTATTTCTTTTATACTGCCCGAGGTCAAAAACCATTTTCTTTTTCCCTATACGACAAATGGTATATGACACTCTTTTCAATTCAGTTAAAATTATCAAGTTTTTTAGTTTTTATAACAATTTTAACGTTGAGTACTTTTGATGCATTTGGCGATTGCTTTATTTCCATAGAAACGAATTTTCTATTTTAATCAGTTATACAAAAAAAAAGTGTAATATGAATAAGAGGTGCAAAGACAAAAATAATATTTATAAATTGACATAAAAATATTATTTATCAAAATATTAATTTATCTAAAATTACTATGTTATTTTATTAATATTAATCATAATAGTAGTAAGGCAAATCAACATTACTTTTTTTTAAGTCTTGTAATAATTCACTAAAATAAGCTCTTTCTTCTTCGTCTGTCTCTTCTTCCTTATTAAGCTCTACTTTTTTATCACACTCTTCTACTTGCTTATTTATTTGGTTCGTTATTTCCTTGACTCCATGGACGTAATGCAAAACTGTCTTTTTCATTGCTTTAGCAGAAGCCGCTAATAAGAGTTTTTTAAAATGAGTAGGTGAGAACTTGCACCCTTGATCCGTAGGCACCTTTGATCCTATGTGGTTATCTCCTTACTTACATAACTTATTAAAGATGGCTGATAACCAGCAAGTTATAAATATTGTATCTTCAAAATTAATTGTGTTTTGGTTAGAGAATAGACCACTATCAAATTTATTTATAAAAAATTTTGACGACAAAAAGTAATTTTTTTACTTGTACGAGGTACCTCAAATCTTTAATATTTATTTGAGTTAAAAAATTAACCCGCATCATTTTTACAAAAATTCTTTTAGTATAATAATAAAAGAGTTTTTGTAAAAATGAAGCACCCATTATACTAATGCGTTTACATATTACACACACACACACACACACACACACACACACAGATATATATATATATATATATATATATATATATATATATATATATATATATATATATATATATATATATATTCAGAAAATAGTAAAGAATTAATTTCATACTTTAACAACTGGGGAAACGTTGAGCCTCAGTAAAAAATTTTTTTTTTTTCATTAATTTTTTCTTTTTTGAAAAAAAATAAATTTGTAGTAAAATTAAAAATAACTTTATTGGTTTTTATTATTAGTTTTGATGACTTAAAAATAATTCTTACACATTCATAAATAAATAAATAGTATATATTTGATCTCGGACCAAGTATACATACATAGGATCAAGTGTGCATATAGGTAGAATCAAGGAAGCATACTAGTATGCACCCCTGATCCCGATTGAGTGTTTTTAGTTTTTATAATTTAAAATCTACTTAAGATATTCTTGTTAAAAAATAATTATTAAATTATAGTAAGGTATAAAATTAGCTATCTAGTACTGTTTCTTAAGAGATCAAAATGAAAATGATGTAAAATTTGCTATCATGTACTGTTACTTAAGAAATCAAAATAAAAACATATATTTAGTAAATTGGCCTGATACATTTTTAGGATGATGAGTGCATACCTCTCCCCTAGTTTTTATAAATTAAAAAAGCTTGCCTTTTAGTATGATGCACTTTCTCATCCCAGTATTTATGTTTTGGAACTTTATAAAAAAAATTTATTATAAACAGTATTTATAAATAAATGACATAATTATAAGTATTTGTATTTATACTTAATGACAGCATTTAAAAATTAATGACATTAATATATAAATACTATTTATTGATAAAAATATTAATTTTTTAAAATGAAAAACTTCTTGTTTTTTTGTTTGAGTCATCGAGAGAACCTGAAACGCTGCTACAAATAGATGAAGAATGATGGATAGCACTATTTCTTGCAGTAATCAATTTGCTGATTAAAAAACCCTTCAGTCAATTAAACTTGCACTTTAAGAAACAGGATTTGTAACATTTGTATTTGATCATTTTCAATTTGCATTGATTAATGAAAGTAAATAGACGTATTTTGAATAGTTGATATTATGAGTTATAATCATAATTAGACTTTTGTTTTACTGTTAGTAACGCACTGCATTTTTCAGCAATAACACTTCATGACAAATTTATATCTTTTTTTATATGTAATATTTCTAAGCGAGTCAATTTTACTAACATTTTTTAAAACCAAATCAGCTACAACTTTAATAGAGGCAAAGTCACAGAAAATCATTATTTGTATCTTTTTAGTGGTTTTTGGGGAAGTGTGAAAACAAAATGTGTATATCTGGTTAAAATAAAAAATTTGTTTCTATTGAATAAAAGTAATTCAAAAACCACAAAATGCGTCAACAATTAAAATAGTTAAAAATCATGAAATTTTTTTTACCAAAATGAAACAAAATATTCATATCAAAAAATTAAATTTAACTAGGCAAAGTGATTTGGAAGAAAAAAACTAGGTTAAAGAAGAAGAGAGTGATAAAAAAGAAGAGCTTAATAAGAAAGAAGAGACAGACGAAGAAGAAAGAGCTTATTTTAGTGAATTATTACAAGAAAAAAAGTAATGTTGATTTGCCTTACTACTATTATGATTAATATTATTAAAATAACATAGTAATTTTAGATAAATTAATATTTTGATAAATAATATTTTTATGTCAATTTATAAATATTATTTTTGTCTTTGCACCTCTTATTCATATTGCACTTTTTTTTTCGTATAACTATTAAAATAGAAAATTCGTTTCTATAAAAATAAAGCAATCGCCAAATGCATCAAAAGTACTCAACATTAAAATTGTTATAAAAACTGAAAAATTAAATAATTTTAACTGAATTGAAAAGAGTGTCATATACCATTTGTAGTATAGGGAAAAAGAAAATGGTTTTTGACCTCGGGCAGTATAAAAAAAATACATGAAAAAATGTATTTTTTCAAAAAATTTACAATCGAAGTAAGAACGTATGAAATCATTTAAAACAAAAAAGTAAAT